CCCGCTTAAAGGCCCTCCAAAGTGAGAGTTTGACCCCTATCTTCTAGTTGGACGTGACCCTAGCCTTGATTCACCTTAAAGTCGACAAATTTGGTATGAACATGAAGGGTGTACGTCCGCACACCCCTTGTACGGCCGCACACACCTCTTAGGGCCGTAAACCCACTTTGATGATCATTTTAGGCCTCAAACTCGCATTGCAAATAAGCATGGGACCTAGAACACTTCTTGGATGCTAGTTAGAACCTTGGAAACACGTCAAAATCACACCTCTTCATGAGTGTACAGCCGTATACTCATGGGCCGTACACCCATGGCCGTACACACCCTTAAGGTGGTCGTACACCTCCCTCACTCAATCAAATGTGGTTTTGACACTTAGTTCGAGTGTTTCCAAGTCCCTAGAGTGGTTTCCCATCATGTCTAGTAGTGAAATGCCCTAGTTTGACTCCTATATGTGTTAGTACATGTTAAATAGGATCTAATTGTGTTCGAGGCTTTACTAGACACTCAGCATCTCATATCGATCTTTCATTCAAACCATTCACTCGAGGTGAGTTCATACCCCTACATTTTCCGAGTTTTTAATGTTTTTAGGGGGGAGGGATACAAGTAAAAGCACAAGTAATCTTGTGTTCAAATATATTATTTTTTTTAATATATTTTCATTAATAATATACATCGGATATAGAAATCAGTTTTACAAAAAGTGTTAGGATACTAACCTTGCAAAAGTAGTTTTCAAAACTAAGGAAATGAACTTATGAATCATGTAAACTAGATTGTACAATATTGTGATGCTCTACTTCAAAAATGTACCCTTAGGTGTACTGAATTAAATCCTATCCTAGTATAACCAGAGTCTCCTGGAGGGAGAGCGTGAGATTTGTGAATAGATCTATTCGGGATTTACAATCCCACACCTGAACTGCTAGCTACAGTTAGGCAGGCATGCCTGGGGTGACAAATGTCATTTAACCAACACTTTCAACAAATATCAAAAGATTCTTTTACTTGAGGTTTATACATTTATTACACCAGATAGTATAAGGTTTTTTTGGGAAAGATATCGCACTTTTCAAAAGAACCGAGAATCGTCTTTCTAAAACAAAATGCTTATGAACTCACCAGCTTTATGCTGATACTCTTTCAAAACTTACTTGTATTCTCAGGGATCTAGTAGACAGGTACACCCCCGAAGCTTTTGAGAAGACTGCTTAGTATCGTACTGCGACTCCTGTTGTTTTCTGTATCTACTTTGATGTTTAAAATATGTAATGTTTAAAATACTTATGTAAAACTTATACTTATTAATGCAATGGTTAGCTGTACTTTGATTACTATAATGCATGTGTTGTGATACTTACATGACGTCCTCCGCCCCCGAACGTTTCCGCCGTTCCGGTTTGGGGGTGTGACATAATACATCTTAGTTATCATCGTACAACGAATGAGAAAGCAAATGGGCAACAAGTTGCGCCATTAAGCTTTTTTGTATGGTAAATTAAGTCAATTCTTTTGTAGGCTACATCCATAGATATAGGGGATATGACATTGATATGCATGTACCGTTGTACTCTACTAAGAAGCTCCACCGAATCCGGTGTAAGGAAACCAAACGTATCAAATGCAAATGGTATGAACATGTGGTGATTTTCCATGCACGATTTCTTATGTTTGGTGACCTTGCATGTAGTTGCTTTTAATGCAGCCTATCTCGCCGTGAAACCTTCGGCCCTCAAGCCTACGAGAGTGGACACCCATGTAAGGTCCACACATGCATGTTTCCCTCTAAATCATCCAAAAATCAAAACATCAACCGGTCTAAGGGTTGACCTTCCTTCTGTCGGGTTAGTCAAGAAATTCACAGATGCCTCGTTCTTGGCAGAAACCCCGACACGCTTAAATATGTCGACCAAATCATCCCTAACCATATCGTGCCTGTATTTGAACCCCAGGAGTTCTTTGCAATGAACTGCATGCTCTCCAAAAGAGTCCAAACATGCCTTGTGGCACACCAGACATATCTCGTCGGCTGGGAATATTGGAATCATGAGTCGATATTTGAGGATGGTACGATACTCCACATGAGACATATGTTAGCCAAGCCCATCTATAGGGATAGCTAGAAGAAAACCTTGTGCATGTGGTGCACGTAAACACTGGAAAACTGCTTTCTGTCGAGCCTTCATGTTGAAATGCACTTATATATCTTGGGCAATTTTACTAAAAAGGGCACTCGCCAGTGTATTCTGGGGTTTAGGGGGGTGTCCTTAGAAGTAAAAGTACTAAGATCAATGTCTGGAAGCTTGTTACAAAGAGAAGCTAAGGCACAATCATAATCAGAATCCATGCCATAAATGCCGCTATCCCGTAAGATGTGGTCTTGTAATACCCAAGATTGGGCCCTTAAGGCAAAAAAGCATATGAGGTAGCCTCTAATGCCGAGTATAAACCCAAACCACCAAACCGAATGGGTAGGGAAGCAAGTCGTCAAAGAAAGGGCCACCACAAACCATAATGTACTCAATCGCCCCGCAGAACCCATTATCGAAGAACAAGGCCGCCTCCTCCATGTGAACGGGTTAGCACGTCCTCAACCCAAAGAAAAGTTTAGCAATACCCATACAAGACCGAAGTAGAAGGAGCCCACTCTGCGGGTCAGATAATTGTGGAAGAAGACACATCAAATTCACAGCGTTTTCAGCTCTCTTTATGGCTAAGCTGCTAATGAAACTAGCATCTCTACTAACAGCTCCCCCGAGAAGTTTCACCTCCAATGGCGGACTGCCGATGCCAATCGAGAATAACCCATCACACAACTTCCTACCATCACACGAGGGCCAAAAGAGTTTGGTTTTCTTGATATTCAATTGAAGGCACAATTTTAAATAAGCATATATAGATATATATAGATATATATATATATATATATATATATATATATATATATATATATATATATATATAAAATCCGTGGAACCATGGTTACAAAATTCATTAAACTTTCATATTAAAACTCATAATTATTAATCATTTATTTTAAATAATATATTTTTAATAAATTATTAATTAAGAGATATTTTTTGTTATATAAAATTATAATCGTTGAATTAAATAAATACATAAAATTTTATCACCATATAATATGTATTAACTTCAACTTAATTTTTATTTTAATGTTTTAATTTAATGTAATTAGAGTGGAAAATTTAAAACTTAAAATTTAAAATGGTGAATCAATATGTTGACAAGTGGCATGACATCAATTAGGAGGCCTAATAGAGTGATGACAAAAACAGAATAAACCTATTATATATATATATATACTAGTCGTTTACCCGCGCAAAGCGACGGCGACGAATAATATACGACGGTGATCAATTAATTTTGGTGAATAGTTTCCTAGCGGCTATCATACCAAACCATAAAAACCATTACGTATTAACAAAGTTACAAAATGCGGATACTTTTTTTAGTTCTTAAAGTTCTCAAACGCTAATAAATCCATTACTGTGTCACTTTCTTGCATATTGCAATCAATCAAATAGAACAATAATTTCAAATAACCGTAACATCTTAATTTTTATTCCAAATAATTGTAACATCTTAGTTTAGTTTTTATTCCAAATAACCGTAACATCTTAGTTTTTTGGGGGAATGGTTCCTTTGTGGTGATTCATTTCATTTTGAAAACATTTAATACACCAAAGAATATGCAATGCAAGTTTAATTTCCTTGGATTACTTTGTAGTTGTTTCCTCGATTAGTTTTCATTTGATTGATAGTTTTCTTTTGATGAATGATTTTTTTTGTCAATTAGTTCTATATGAAAACATGTCATATTTCAAATAACATGCAATGCAGTTAATGATGATTAGTTTTATTTGGGAGAATAATTACCTTTAGAAGATTAAAATTGTTATTTTGGTTTAAGAATAAAAAGACAATTGTTTTAAGTTAAAATAATAAGCATGCTTTTGGTATTCATTTATATAATATAACATCGTCTTACTTAATACACTTATTTAGTTGTTAAAAATGAAAACATAAACTTATGTAGTTAACACCATGATACATAAATAGATTAACAAGGGGGGGGGGGGGGGGGTAAGAGATGACCAAAGGGGATGGGTTTTAATTGGAAGTAGTTGTTAAAAATGAAAACATAAACTTATGTAGTTAACAACATGATACATAAATAGATTAACAGGGGGGGGGGGGTAAGAGATGACCAAAGGGGATGGGTTTTAATTGGAAGTATGCAATTATGTTGTGTAAGTTTTTATACATTAAATTATATTTTGAAGTTAAACCAATTATTGTTTGTTTTATGCATGTAATGAGCATATTATCAAGTAATACTATGTAAAAAGACAAGTTGGTTAATTCATCAACTTTGTATCAAAACATCCATGTATTTGAAATTTTCTTATTGTAAAAGTTTTTCTTTCCCCATAGATGACTAACCTCCTCAATCTCCCTAATTTCAGACGCAATAACATTCACAACATAAGCAAATTGCAATTTTGATTAAAGAAATAGCAAAAAAAACATTATATGCATACCATACAATTTATTCTCTGTTTTTGGCAATGAAATTTTTTGGATTGATGGTCAATACTGAGTAAATTTGATAACATCAATAACATAAAACATTCCACGACATCAAAAGAGAGTAACAAAATTGCATCCAAAGAACATATTTTCAGTATAAATTTCGAACGGTTCCATTATGAAGAGCAACTTAACACTTAAATGGATTATTCTAATTTTAAATAATTCCCACCATTCATGGATTTAAATGATTGCCTCATTTGCAACTTTACCAACTTCCTTAACTTTCTTGTTAACCTTTTTCCATTTATCTCCTTCCATAAGCTCATTCACAATCTTTTTCCATTCCTGACCTCACAACACACGTCTATACACTTGAACCAATCTTAATCTCCTCCACCACCATCCATGCATTTAGGCATTGCTCATCCATCATCGACATTTTAAAACCCTACATTTCTTGAGACTGATGCTGCAATACTAAAGAGCAAAATAGACATTTTACAAAGTATATTGACAGCTACACTATGACCAAAAAAATTACTTGGAACTTAATGCGCCTTGGATATTGAATGTATTTCTCTGTATAAACATCATCATTATCAAATGCATCAAATGCAGGTTAAACCACACTCTTAGCTTGTTATTAAGAGGTAAATTAATACAAAAAAGGACTTAATATTGGTTGCAGGATGTAGAAAAATGTGGTGACAATACTTTTTGCGCCAATATATGCCAAATTTGATAAAATTTTGAAATTACAATGTTGTAATATGAACAAATGAAAGTAAGTAGCTATGATAAACATAATAAATGAAAGTTAAAACACTTATCTGCAATTCATATATTTTAAAGTATAAGCTTGTAATACGAAGAAATGAAATTAAGATTCTATATATAGATATATGTTTTTTGGATGTATCTTTTATAGTATTATCACTTTTTCGTTTGTTGTATGTATTTTCATATGTTATATAAATATAATAGTTGGGTGTGTGTCACCTATTTTTATTTCAAATAGTAGAGGTTCCACGGTTAAAAGTTCCGATCATAAAAAGTTATTACAAAACTTATCATATTGTTACAAGACCGATTTACATGCCTAGTTTGTAGTAATCATTAGTGTCTAGTAATATTAAAAATAATAAATGTCAAGTATCCTCTTTAATAAATTAAGGTTTTTTTTGACACATGTCATCTTCTCCTTCATTTTGACACTTGTCATTTTGTGAGAATTTTAGAAATTTTATTTTCCACTTGTCATTTTTTAGGGATTTCCATTTTCTTAAAATAAAATTCCATAAAATTGTAATGGTTCTATAAGGAAATAAAATCATCCTATTAATTTGGTAATAAATTCTCATAAATACTTCAAACGATTTAGTTTCTTTTGCAAATTTTCAGAAGATTACATTATGTTATGTAAAGTATTACATTATAAAATATTTCATATTTATATATTGATATTAAAATTTTATTTTTAATAAACCCGTGTAATACACGGGTCTCACACCTAGTAATAGATATGCTAAATGGTAAATTTTTATTGAATTTAACCAAGTAATTTAAAGCCTGTGAATTAGAGGAATCAAACTTTCAACAAAACCTATTAAACAAAGGAAGTCTTTTTTTGATAAAAATATCACATTTGAAAATAAAATTAATTAGTTTAAGTTGACATCATCATTTGTAATTGTCAAGAGAAAAATGACCCCTGTGACAAACAATTCTGGAATATATAAGAGGTAAACAGGTCAACGTCAAAATTAGAACACCTCTTTTTAAATACATTTAGAGAACCTATATGAAGGGATTGACACAACAAATATTTAATCAATGATGCCCTGTACACTTCCAGGAGTTATATACATCTATGAAAGGCTATTTAGCAAGTTTAGCAAATAGATCTACAACACGAGCGAAGTGATGAAAAGAAAAAAGAAATTAAAAGATTTATAGAAAATTATATCATATGTTCCAAATTTACATGCGAAGACTTCATACCTGCTAGTCCATACACGAAAGGGTAAAACACATGACAACATCCATGGAGATCTGCATCTCCCTCTGCATCTGACACCTATTGTGTGGCTTCAATTATTTTTCCAACAAAGTAATTTTTTGAGTACTAAGTAGTTTAAAACATTAAAAGTATGAACTGATTGAAGAAAAAGAATGGGATAAGTACCTCCACAGAACTTCGACTTGAGATCCACCTGAAAATTAAAGAAACATAAGTTAATTTCAAGTTTCAACATTATTCAATAGAATAAACTTAATTAAACCCATAATTGTTTAGAAACTTGAAATAGAACGATCAAAGATGTCAAAGTATTTTTTTTTTCACAAGAGATAAATGTGTAGATCTTCCATCACAGTCCATAATTTTTGCACAGAAGGAAACGAAAAACTCAATTTCATTGAAATCTCGAGAATATCCTTAAACCTGTTCTGCAGAGGTATGATCTCAATAGAACTAAGTATTCAAAAAGGTGAATCACCATCAAAGTTAAGAAGAATACAAGAATCAGAAAAACAAACACAATAACTAAGAGTAATCCAGTTTACATGTTTCATTGATGAAGAATAATTTCCACCTTCCCAATCCCCCAATCTGTATTGTCGTGTACGAAATCGGGAAAAAGTGAAAACATATTGGATGTGATTTAGAAGAAGAAGGAAAAGAAAAAGAATGAGATGAAATCACAAACATCTTACCCTCTACCACTTTTTGTTACAAAAATCACAAAAACATAATTTTTTTTGTTAGTTTAAGTATTTTGGAAAAAAAAAACAAGAGATCAAAGTGATGATGTATAAATAAAAAAATAGAAATTAATACATACATAAAACCCTTACCTGATATCGGTCAATAAAACCTTATAGATAATTGATATTTTTGTGGTAGAGACATCAACAAATCCCCTTTCTTTTGAGTCTGCGAAATGGTTGATGAGACGCCTGAACTTAATTGTAACTAACCTGTTAGCATATTCACCTATAAAAAATTAAAAACTAAATACAAAGATGTCATGCTGAATTTTCATCACGTATAATAAGTCTTTTGAAGGTTATTTTCAATTGTCAGGAGATTTCAACAACAAAAAGCAGAAATCATACTTGGGAGAGAGACCGAGATGTACATGAGGGAGTGTATTGAATTTAGTTCAATAAGCAATACAATTAAATATCTTAAATAATATTAAGATTGTCTAACATAACTCCTCACACAACTCCAAAATTATCTAAAAGATTTAACTAATATATACTTATTTGAACTATTCTTCTACGAGCAGTTGACTGAGTTTTGCCAACAAATTATTTTAAGTTATTCTTAGTTTCTCATGCATTAGATTTTTGTACATTGTGTTTAACCTTTTGTACGAACTAAAATTATAATATTATTATATTAGTGGGTTGTTGTACCTTAAGCTTAAACATTTGGGCGTCTTAAAAAAATAATATTATTATATTCAATCTATTTTTAAAAATAGTTAGATTTCTTTTATAAGATAATATATATATATATATATATATATATATATATATATATATATATATATATATATATATATCTTAATAAGCATTTAGCATGTTTTGCTGAATTTTAAGAGGTACAAGACATAATGCAATTTGCTGAAAAGTCAGACGGGCTTGAATCGGTCTTCCACACATTCAGCATAATGAATTGGTCAACACCAACTAACCAATAACCACTAGATCATTCACTCTCCGCCATCCTCTTTCTCTCCCTAAAAAGTAGAAGCCCCAACAAAAACCCATTTGCCACTCACGCCCCCATTTACAGATCGAGTAGGGGCTTAAGTTCCCAAGGGTTGTCCTTCACGATTTTCTTATCTGAAAGTAACGACCTCCGACCTCCTATTTACGCCTTCTTCATCGATGCAAACGATCTCCTCATTTTGCCTTCTCCGTCGATGCAATGACCGCCATGTGACTAATGGGGAAAACAGGTGATGAAAAGGTAAACCTCAGCAAAGCCAAAATGGATATGAATGGTCTGCCTTACTGATCTTAGGCAAAAAAAATCGAGTGTTGTATTTACTGAACTTTATAGAAAACCTTTGTTTCTTTTTAGTTATTTTATGGGATTAAAAGCCTTTGATTTGTTAATTTTCTCAGGTTATATACAATAGATGGGTATATGACTTTGTAACAGGCTGATACAGTAGCGCACAACAGGTGTTTGATAAAATGCCTGAAAGATTGTTCATAGTTGAATGATGATTGTTGACTTTCGTTTTTGTGCAGATGATTTGTATCGTTGGCAATGGAAGGTGGGTAGATATCTATATCAATGAGGAAGGCTTGAAGGAAAAGGGTGAAGGCTTTAACGAAAACAGGTTTGTTTTTATTTTTTTGCATCCTTGCTTTTATCTCTACCCCCTGAATTGCTTCTATCTCTGCCTCTAATCGTTTGTATCAGGTAATGGATATCGATTGTTTGTATTAGGTAATTTATCTCATGGATTTCTTTCTCTTTTGATAACATCTATCTCTGTTGAAGGGCTGCAATTGGAAGTTGGTGGTGTTAGATTTGTTGTATTGTTTGTTGACCGTCTTTAGTTAGGATTCAGTAAGCTTCATGTGATGTCTCACACCGGTAGATCCTTCCCTATCAATGATGTTTCCGCTTCTTATAATTATTTTTTCAATGGTTTGTTACCATCATTTGTTGCTCCACGACCATCACATGCTTTGCTCACTGTCATTGCTTTGTACCTTGCCATAAACCACTAATCAACCAGACACCTGCGATATTATGATTTCCTGCGATATTATGATTTCCTAGGCTTGAATCTTGGATCTAAATCCCATGTTCACCCGGATCTAAGTAAGAACACATTTGCTTTTGCGTTTTTTTTACTGTATTGTCCTTTGATTTTGATTTATTTCCATTAGATTCAACGGAATTTGGGTGTTATTTGTTATCTCACGTTACTAACTACACATATCTATGAGTCCTTTTGTATGGATTATTTTTTATTTTTTGGAAATTTATTTAAAAAATAATGTCTTTTTGATATGTTATTTGTTCTAACACTGTTTTTTATCCATTCCAGTTTCTTTTTCCCTCAAAACACAGTTTCCAATCTTATTACCCTTTTGTTCCTCCTCAATGCAACCTCTGACTCTTGGCTGGTGAATGTTTCATTGTTTTGATGATGTTTATAGTTAGGTTTAATTAAATA